GTCTCCGACCAGAAGGACTGGCCAAAGAGGACAGCGCTCACTTCCGACTCCGGCCCGTCTCTCCGACCGGAAGGCTTGACCAAAGAGGAACATCGCTCGCTTCTGACTCTGGCCCGCCTCTCTGACTGGTAGGCCTGGCCAAGGAGGAACGACGCTCGCTTCCGACTCCGGCCCGCCTCTACCGACCGGAAGGCCCGGCCAACGCCGCTTTCGACTCCGACCCGCGTCTCCGATCGGGGATGCACCAAACCTCTGCTTATAGCTCTTGTCCGACTGGCGCAATCGGAGCCGACTAGGACCAACCGACTAGGGACGCCCGCTCGGTAAGGACCCAGAAAATGGGCGGAACAAGTGAGGCAGGGCGCTCAAAGTCAACAGCAATACCAAGGACCGTACCCTGCACACCTGCAGGACAGTACCAACATATCAGAAGGTTGCACTACAACCTTCCGGACATATCAGAACCCAAACAGTGTTGAGGGCGCCGACATTTGCCCTACAGTGTTGCGGGCGCCATCAATTCCCATACTAGGCAAACGCGGTAAGGCCTCCCACACGCATCTGGGCATCCACAATGTTGTGGACACCGGCATTTACCGTACCTGGCGACCATGGTGAAAACCTCCCACATGCGTCTGACATTAACAGTATTGTGGGCGCCTACCATCATCTTGTACCCGACGACATGGGCAACAAGACTTAGTAGCACACGTACACTCTCCCTCTCTCTTTCTCACTTGTAAGGCCGTCCTCTTCATCTATAAAAGGGGATGCGCTCCCTCCCAAAAAGGGACGATCGATCTCAGGATCGATTCAACACACAACAATAGAACCACCGGGTTCAAACCTCAAGCACACGCTCGAATACTCAGCACACGTAGGAAGCTCCCGTCACTCTCGGCCCTTCAGACCGGAGTCCGACCGGACCTCTTGCACCCCCATCTTTCTCCTTCTCGTTTGTAACCCCACTGCAAACTTCGAGCACCTGGGCTCAGGAATAAAATCACTGACCGACTCAAACTGGACGTAGGGCACATTGCCTGAACTAGTATAAACCCTGTGTCATTGAGTGTTAGGCCACATCAGATCACAACGTACGGCAAAACTACAAATATTTACGTGTTGGTCACTTTCTATACCGACAACTATAGTAACATTATTTATAATCAGACCTTGTTGCTTGGATCAGGGTGTTCTTTTTGGTTACCATCAGCTTTTGCACGTAACCGTGCATAGTAGTTGCGCTGATATTCTCGGTTTCTAGCCCATCTTTCATCATCTTTATCACAAGTCATTACATCAGTAGTATCTAGATTCTCTAGATTATTCATTATTGGAGTTTTTTCTGTGTCCTCACCTATAAATATGTAAAGATCAAAGATTAAGATTTAAAACCAGTATGTTCAACGTCTATAACTATAAATAGTATTGTAGTAACATTATTTATTATCAAACTTGGTTGCTTTGCTATTATCTCGCTTGCAGCAGGATGTTGTTTTTGGTTACCATCAACCTTGGCCCGTAGCCGTGCACGGTAGTTACACTGATATTCTCGGTTTCTAGCTCGTCTTTCATCATCATTATCATAAGTCATTAAATTAGTAGTTTGTGCTTCAAATTTCCTTTTTGCCGATGACATATCTAGATTGCCATGTGGTCCTGTGGTCAGATTACCATCTGATCTTGTGGTCGAAGCCATAACAATGTTTAGGTTGGAGCACTGCAATCAAGGAATATAAAACTCTAAAAGTTACTTGTGTTGACATTATGTTTACAGGTCAATTGAGAATCAAAAGAAAATTGCAAATGGACATAAATGGAGACTCTACTGAAGAAACAAAAAAGTCGCGCGACAGGTGATAAACGGGTGCCTCCAAGCAATGGGCATCAATGTCAACGGCGACGGCGCTAGGGGCAAAAGCAACGGCGGCGGCAACGGCAGTGGTGGCAGTAGCTACGGCTCCCATCACCAAGAAAGTTGTAGCGGTGCAGAGATAGACGATGGCGACGATTCCGCCGATGCCAATGCCGCCGCCGCCGCCCTCCGGCTACATGCCGCCGATGCCGATGCCCGCGCCTATGCCGCTTATGGACACGACGAGCATGCCCACGATGCACGCGGCCTTCTTCTGGGGGCCACCACGTGCAGCGACGGCGGCGGCATGTACGTCCTCTGCCTCCTCGTGGTGGCCGCTCTCGCCGCGCTGGCCTAGGTGCTCGCGGCGTGGTCCCGCGCCCTCGCCGGCCGTGGCTCCGACGCGCTGGGGTGGACGCTGCAGGTGACGTGGGTGCACATGCTGAAGGTGGGGCTGTCGTACCTGGTGATGCTGGCCGTCATGTCCTTCAACGGCGGGGTTTTCTTGGCCGTCGTGGCTGGCCACGCCGCTGGGTTCCTGATCGCGCAGAGATGGTTCCTCGCCTACCGTGCCTTCGTGCTCGCCGCCGCCGTCTGGGGATTTGACAATCTTAACACATGCAGGTGAGAAGCAGCAAGAACAAA